CTGCAGCGACCGCCCCGTCACCTGTCACGGCGTGAGTCACGACTGTGACGTCACGTGACGACCGTGATGTCAGCGCCGTGATGTGACGGAGAACGTGGCGCGCTCGGTCTGCTACCGGTCACGGCCACCCACAGGGGGGGGAGGGGGAGCGGTGTCATTGTGTTCGTGGGGTGTGGTAATACAGTGTACCGTCTGCAGATACGGTGATACGGCCAGGCCACCGTTTGCTAGTAACCGTGAGGCAACACTGGACACCGACCTGGAATACCGTGAGGCAACGGTGGCCCGTGTTTGCACACTGTCATTGGATCTCAGATGTATGACGGATCATGTATAGTTTAGTAGCCAGTCTTATCAGATTACGTTCAAGCTTATCATGCCGTTGCAAAATCGGTTTGCGACGGCTCGATACGCTGAGCGGGATCGGTGCACTTTCTGTGACTGGCCAAATCTCTCGGGTATCTCTATGGGAACATGGAGCAACGCAGTTGCTTCATGGACGATGGATCCGCCACCGCGAATCTCAAAGATAATTCTCGGGTCGCATCGCTGACGATGCGATGTGTCTCTCGAAAGTCGTCACCTACTTTCAGCGTGCCGGACAGCCCGCGTCGGCGACTTACAAATCGAGTATTCGGCACGCTTGCAGTGCCAAATCGCCGGCCAGCCGTCAGTTTACCATTGATCAAGTTGTGGTGGGTTGCGCGGGATTATTTTCATTCACCACGAACCGTGACTATCGGACATGGTTTGCAAACCAGAGTGGGCTAAACCAGCAAACCAGCAGCATTCAGGTGACAGCGAGCCGGTCCGAGAGAAATTATAGAGAAGCGTTTCAACAGAAACATCCCAGAGATGTTGGTCACAGCTTTCAGATATCACGATAGCATTAGCAGAACAATTTATTTGGCTACACAGTGTGTCCTATGAATTCACGAGCCAGTGGACTGTACAATGCGCGTTCTTAAGTTGACGACACATAAGTGGGAGTTTCTCTCATGGACTGTCCCGCTAAAATGAAGATAGCATTGTACAGTCTGTCTTAAAAGTACCGCGCAAAGTGACGGTGGATCCATCAAGCCTGACCGAGGAAGGGCCTGCTATGATTTGAAAGTCACCGACCGAACCAATTGAGCTGGGGAAGGGACGAGGATGTCCATTGCTTCGGTGACTCAAATTTGGCAGTCCTTCATCGGTCAGGCTTGATGGATCCACCGTCACTTTGCGCGGTACTTTTAAGACAGACTGTACACCGCGTACGGCCTAGTCTGGACAGTGCAAATACAGTGCAATCTGCACTGCTGGCACCATTTCCCGTTGCAAGAAGACATTTCGCCTGCCATGGCGCCGATCTGGGCACATTCACACACGAACGGGCCGACAGACGGACAAACAGAACACGGGTGCAAAGTGCAGACCCGCTCGACTGACGGGCCGGCAGACAGACAGACAAACGGTCTACCCGTGTCGCTGACGGCCCGGCAGCGGTACGCGGGTGGTCGGCCGCGGTCAAATAGACCGATGTCCTGCAGACAGCGGTACGCGGGTGGTCGGCCGTGGTCAAATAGACCGATGTCCTGCAGACAGCACCACTGGAGGGTCGGCGATGGATGGAACCGGCCGGCCTCCATTCATTAATCGCCAATGGAAAGCTATGATCCGGCGAGGTAGTTGGACCCGAAACCAGATTTCCAGCTGACGTGGTACGACTATGTTGTAGTGGTCTGCGAAACTCAATATCAGCGCGAACTTTGCGTTTACCTGATCATGAGATGTTTTTTTTTTCTTTCACTGATGTAAGCTAGGAAGTTTCCAAACAAGCAGGGCACTCTAAGCTGATAAGGCGGCGGAAATGTCCACTTTCTACGGACGGCACAGCTCGCTGGACCCGGAGAAGGTGGAGGTGGACCGGATGTGTCGATGGGAGGTGATAGTGAGATTAGAATATCAAAGTGGCTAATCTGTCACGTACGACAAAACAAAGTAGGAGCCTGCTGAATTTCTACATTACATGATGGATCCGTGTAACGTCTCCACCGAATGCGCATATCATTCACACAAGTTATGCAGGGGTGCATTTTAGCTCACTTAGCAAGGCTTTGGGAGCATCAATACGCTCCATCCAATGAGATCCACAAATTTACTAAAACGTTTCAGCTCAATTAGCCATGGAATGACAAAATCATTCAGGTAATTATTGTTTACGAATGTAAGTGCTCCTATGTTTCGTCGAGGGTCAGTCAGTCCCCCACCCCGCCCCTGTCCCTCCCCTCCCCTCCCACGCGCCAGGTGTGTTCCGTAGCTCCGGTTGGGAGGTGGGGAGGGGAGGGGAGGGGAGGGGTGTCAGCGGCCGGCCGCCGGCCACGTGCCGTCTGTATGTCTGGCTGTGAGGGCAGGGAGCGGGTGTTGTTCTCTGACAGATGGCTGCTACCGCACACCGCGCGGTGGTCGTAACGGTTCACAGGAGCTACTGGAACGGCGCCCGTGGCGCGGCGGGCAGTTCACTCCGAACACAGACACACAGTCCGCTCACACACACAGACAGACACACCGGATGATGGAGAGGCACGCAGACAATCAGTAGACGGATGGGACGACTTCTTATCGGACGTATATGGAGAGGGATCGCTGGGCTGGTCGTATATGCGTGAGGTAACGGTTCGGTGATGCAGTTAGCGTGCTGCGAGAACATTAGGTAAGTTATGTTTGGTTTAAAAAAATTAAAACCGCACTTTTCGGTCAAAGTTAGGTATGCCCACTAATCAGAACAGCGAACGAGTGACACATTGAAATGATCACCCATCTGTCTTCTCGTTCATCACTCAAAAGTTACTGAAAAGCAAAAATAACGTTCAAATTCAACGTTCAAATTAGACCAAAGAAAACCCCCTGCGAGCCGCGTATCAGATCCGCTGCACGATCCATCTGACAGACCGCCTCAGTCCCGTCCCGTGGCACCGGCCGAGGTCCCTCGCCGGCGGGCGGGCCGCGGCGGGCGGCCGCTTGTGTTGGCAGCGTCCCGGTCTCAGAGCGGGACGCGGCGGCAGCGGGGAGCCTCATCAGCGCACACTGATGACGGCTCATCAAGGCCGGAGCCCGTCACAGCCGGTCACGTGATCAACAGCAGGTGAGGCTGGGCGGGTCACGTGACCCGAGCTGCACCGAGGGTCAACATCCGCTCAATGAAGGTGGAGACTGAGGGACAAAAATACGGAAAACTAACTACGCGAGAGGCAGAGGTTTGATACGGGGGAAGTTTTGATATGTGGTGGGCGATTCGAATTTCGAACAGATGAAAGCTTCCTACCTAATGTCAGCTGCCGAGGTTCCCTGAACATAAAGGTAGTGTGTGCAGTAGGTAAATGCACGAAGCATTACAATCAACAACCATCCGATGAGAGCTGCTGCGAAATTCCAGTGATCTATAAGTCCCTGTCCAGAGGCCATTATACAATGACAGCTGCAAATACAATGACGTCGAGATGAAATTTGTCAAGAGAACTCGACTAATGCATGCTTGCTGCTCATTTGTCATACCACTTGGTATTTATAACATTGCGAGGCATTATCCTCTTGCTAGCAAAGACGGTGCTAGCAAAGAAGGCTATCCGTCAGATACATATTCGGCCGCGTTGCAAAACAGTTGCTGCATGCGTCGGGCTCATACAGCCTACACCTAATCGCGTTCCGCTTGCTGGTGCGTGGCAGCCACGTTGCGCAACGGCCAGCCAAGATCGGCATAGCTGCTCGCAACCTAGCTCCTCGCTGTCACAATGCATATGTCTGTGTTGCAAACAGAGAAGGCATTAAAGCCACTGGTAGCAGGTGCAACTCGTTTACTTGAAGTCTGAAAAAGTAAATCAACCTTATGTACATACGCGGTTGGCAGGTGACGCAAGCTCTCCGTTGATTTAGTGTGCAGTAGAGCTGAAGTTGTTTGTGTAATGGTCTGAAGCTTAAAGTTTAATATGATTTGCTAAGCCTGTGACTGAAAAAAGAGAGCCTGAGCTTTGAATGCAGCGAATTCGAATTCGATGGATAACATGGCACATTCTTATCATCAGGAATAGCATGACCGAACATATGAGCAACTTTGAACAGCGACATCTGGAGAGCCAGACCCTAGCGCAGGTGGCGCTAGTATCGCCCTAGGTGGCGGTAGCGCCTGGTGTATTAGCGAGGTCGGTACCGTCACTATGGAGGTGGCGCTAGCGACCACATATCGGCCAGTAGGTGCCAGCAGCATCGGTCCAATCCGACAGAGCGATCACCCTAAGGGCCATCCCATTATTCACGGCCACTGGTGTGTCATTAATGTTTGACTAATCACCGATTCAGCAATGCAAGCTGACTATTACATTGCTAAATTCGCCAGAAAACATATGCCTTTCATGGTCACAGGGACAGAACCGAATTAGCGGTCAGCGGCGGTAGCCAATACCGTGGCCTTGCAACTTGAACCACACAATGCGACTAAATGTCGAAGACGGTTGTTAAGTGAAAACTACAAAAACAACATTGAATGTCCATTCAACTGAGAATAATGAGCCACAGCCATATGCAGGCAACTTGTCGGACTCTTATTGCATTCGAAATTTCAATGGAAGATGTGGGGTTGGAGGTTGGAAGTACCTAATTGAGGTCTGACTTGCGCTAAATTTCCCTGAAAGCAGGATGGAGTCGAGAATCGAGTTTCGTATCGCTGGAATTTGAAACAGATTGGATTTGAACCTAGGTACATTGACGTGCAGTTTCAATCTCAAAGTTACGATTGGTAGATGTGACTGACGTTTTCAAGAAAGCTTGTGAAAGTTTTGAGAAAGCATTGTGGTAATTAGATTTGCATGGGATGGGACCACGGTGAAGAGTCGATGGGTGCTAGCAGTGTGGCAATTACAAGCTGACGAAACGGAAGAAAAGAATACAAACTCCTGGTACCGAGTCACTGACTCACCCCCCCCCCCCCCCCTCTTCCGCTCCGACCGGGAGTCGGGACTGACCTAGCGCCGACTGTCTGCCGAAGAAGTCCTCCCGCAGCGACTGGGTCTCGCTGACGTCATCCTCGCCGTCCTCATCCTCGTCCTCCTCCTCCTCGAGCAGGGTGGGCGGCGGCGCCAGGTCGTAGCCCCACTGCTTCCTGAACGCCTTGCCGCCGCCGTCCAGCCGCACACGCGGCAGGTCCAGGAACAACGAGTCGCCGATCTGGGGGGAGGGGAGGATGTCAGCGGCAGGTCCTTCCCCCCGCCGTCCAGCCGGACTCGCGGCAGGTCCATAGGAGCAGAGTCGCCGATCTGGGGGGGAGGGTGTCAGCGGCAGGTCCTTCCCCCCGCCGTCCAGCCGGACTCGCGGCAGGTCCATAGGAACAGAGTCGTCGGTCTGAGGGGGGGGGATGGGAGGGGCCAGAGGTAGCCAGGAGAGGGTGTCAGGGGTTGTCAATCAAAGCTGGCGGCAAAACAGATGCCAGAGCAGTGGACAAGGTGACACTGATTTTATTATTCAACGAGGTGACGGTCGATTCACAGGGCGGTTGTTGTTGACACCGGTGTTGCAGTATACCGGAAAGCCAGGCAGGTGTTGGATATGTAAATCACTCGGTGCAGAAGTGAACACTGAACACTGATTGCTGTGTGGCTTTCCTGACCTCAAGGAGATACTGAAGGTTAGCTCAGTTCCGCTGAATGAAATTTGCATCGCGGACTACGGCAAATTAGGTATGTGAGTGGTTGCATGCAAATGCATTGATTCGAATAAAACGTCTTAACAAGGCAAAACGGTGTTGGCTTATTGACTGGCTATATAAATGACACACTTGTTGTGACACTTCTAACGGCTAGGTATACCTAGACAATAAAGACATTTACAAGACTAGGTTGAAATACTTTACAAACGAGGTCGCATTCAGCAACATAGAGAAACGTACGTGCTACAGCTAAATTACTCATGCCGACAATGAAATATCATGCATAAACTGGCAATGAAAAGGGAGAAGATAGTAGCACCATTTATTCCATTCATATCAATTAAAACGTCACTTAGGTAAAAGGAGGCTAGGGCGAGATAATGATGGGTCATTCAAGTAAGTGCATAATACGACATAGAAAAAACTGTATCACCGTTTAAGTTGTTGACCTGGATTGTTCCTTGGGCCAAGGTCATGTCAAGCATGTCAAACGTTCGCGGTAAGAGCTCCTGTGTATGGAATCATTCAGAACAGCAGCCCTCCCTCGTGTCACTCGCCCCACCTCCTCTTTCGGCTGCGCTAAATGACGCCCTCAGGCACCAGCAGCAGCATCATTGTCCCAAAGTGTCCTAACAGAGGCGGGGTCGGTCCGCACCCGTCGGTCCGCAGCACTCGACCTGGATTCGCCGAAATGTGCCGGATCTGACGAGCGCGCCGAGCCATTTCGGCAGGGCCGGGTCGCGAGTGGTCGGTAGCGGGTTGGGCAACTTGCGGTCACGGTCACACACTGTGCCACTGCGGTACAGCCAGACTGGCACCTGACTGATCACAGTCAGACGGTGCAGGCAGACCGGCGTACCGGGACCGCGGACAGGTCAGCGGTGTCGCCGGTCGGGTCGAACGGTGACTCACCGCGGTCACAAACGTGTTTCGATGACTGAGTCACCAGTTCACGTGCTTCCCCGGCAAAACCCCTGTCCGGTGCGATGTCTGGCAGTGAATTTTTACCCAGACCGGACCACCCCAGCCTATTGTTTCGGCAGAGTTGATTATCGCTGCGGTATCCACCAATCTCAGGCGAAAAGTAAACGATGCGATAGGTGACTGGGTCTCTGCTGTGGCCGATAACGGTGGCCGATAACGACTGAGACCGGATGTGGGGCGCACGGGGCCCGTCATATTGCCGACTTATCGGCACGCATTTGTTTGCGCACGCACAGCCGCGCAGTGCGACCTCAGTGACCTTTCTCAGCCACCTGGTCAATCAGGACAATCGACCGGGGGCGGCTGGATTCGCCACCGACCGCCGCGGTATCACAAACACCATCAGAAGGACCGGTGGAGGAGGCGTCGGCCGGCGGAGTGTGCGCCGGTCTCCACCCGTGCCGACTGTAAATGGTCAGCAATCACCCCTCTCCGCTGCCGCCGTCATTTCCCCGCAGCGGCCGCCGTCATCCTGCCGCCATCACCGGGCCATCGCCGCTGCAGTACCGCCATCTCAGCCACCCCTCGGCACGGGGTGAGGCTCTCGAACGCAGCCGAGTGCGTGCCGAGCCGCCTCATCACCTGCGCTGCGAGCTCCGTCCGCGGCGGGCTCTGATAGCGCACCTCTCCTCCCCACCACCACCATTTACCCTGCCTTCGCCCGGCGCCAACCGCCGAGCACCGTTACCAACTGCGAGCCGCCCGTCGGGCCGAGTTGCATACTGATCACAGCGGCCCTCTGCTCGGCGCGGCTCCTCGGAGCTGACAGGCAGCACACACCGGCCGCCAGCACGGGCCCAGTGGTACTGTAGTTTACATACATTCAACCAGAGGATTTAAACTGGCCCGGGCCGAGTGCGACGACCGGAGCGGGTTGGAGAAGCGAGTCAGCGCACGTAGGAGTTCGAGCGACCCGGCTCAGACGAGCTGGAGCGGGAAACAGATGTCACCGTTCTGCCACTAAACCGCAGTGCAACGACTGTTTGCGAGCCGGCAATCCGGAAACGGGAAGGATTACATAGCGGAAAGCTGGACCGCTGGGGAAACGGGTGTGTAAGACGGCTCGGAGCTTCACCTGTCCTAGTCACGAAGAGCATCATTTTCCGCTTGCGGTTGGTCGGAAGTGAATTGCAGCGGTCCCTAATTTCAGCACGGAGCATATAATTGACTCGCCGCAGTGGGTTAGTCATTAAGGAAAATTAGCGACCCCAGTTCCGATTAATCTTGTCTTCCTTTATTCATATCACCGGTCATACCACGTAGCATCCCACAACACAGGGCTAAATTATACCCTATCCTCCGCGATCGGCATAATTAACTTCCGGTCCCGTATCGAACCCGAAAATACCACCAACACCTCCGAATTAGTCGCCAATTCATAAACAAACTGTCGGACACCACCCAAATGACCACAATTTCACCAAACTCGGGTGCTGATGGCGCCCTGGGTCTGCGCTCGGCGACCGGCCGGGTCACCGCGCCGCCCCCGCCGCACTCCGGTCAGCCATTATCGCGGCCCGCTGCCCTCCATGTGGGAACACATCGACACGGGCGCCGGTTCCCACGCAGCGGCCGGGTCGGCGCCGCGCAGTCCGAGCCGGCTAATTTCGGTCTAATCACCCGGCCTGCCACTCAGGCGGCGCAGGTAGCGGCAGGGGCGGCGGGTGGGGTCGGCTGGGGCGAGCTGAGCGTCCCCAGCAAACGTACTATACGGTCGGGCAATAAAGGTCAGGGCGACCTGCAACCGACGGTACGTTAAATACCCGACGACTGATGTACTTTGCGCTGGCCATACACAGCAGAGGCTGGGAACAGACCAGCAGGTAGAGAGGAGGACGAGTGAAGAGCCGATAGGACCGACCGGAGGGCAAATTCGACCGCACAAAACCTCACACTACGGCCGGATATGGCGGGCGGTCTGGCGGGAACCGCGCCTCCTAATCGCCCCTCTCCAGCCGAGCGTGCGACAAAGGCCCCCTCCCGGCACATCGGAGCCATTGGTCCCAGCATTGTCACCGCTCGCCGGCCGTCGACAGGTAAAAAAACCGACTGCCATCCGCGATAACGCCCTCGCTAACTGCGCTTCCTGAGAACAGAGCGCCCCGCCTCCGTGAGACGCCACGGGCTGCTCACGAGCTCCGCAGAGCCCCGCGCCACCGTTGTGAGGTGGCTCCCGTTTCACAACCTCACGCTACAACCGCTTGCCGTCGCTCGTCGGTCGGTGGGTGGCGACCTGAGCACCTCTGCCGCTGTCTTCGCCCCAACAACGTCGTTACTGCGCCGACCGAGCTAGCAAGCTCGAGTACTCTGCCGAGCAGGGTTCATCGGACACAGGACGTCGCCGACCGCCGGTGCAGACGGTAGTCACACTCGTAACGAGCAATTGTTGGGCCGCCCTGCGCCACTGTCCGTCGCCAAACGAGCGCGGCGAGCACGGCTCTATTTCCTGCCCGGTCGTGCTCGTCGGGAAGGGGCGCGACCCGCCGCGGCCGGCGCAATCACAGCCGCTTGATTAGCTCGCGGCTCGGTTAGGCGGTGCACTTCCGAGCGGAGCATTTCGGGGGGCGGAAGTGAGAGCCCGGGATATGGGTGTTTGCTGGATACCTACCACGCCCTGGCGGAGGTGTAACACAGATGCATATACAATGAGCTGCGCACGGCACCGTTTGGACTGAAAGGAGGCTGAGGGAAGGAGTTGGGCGAAGTGGAAGGCTGGTGGCATTCGGCAACTAGTCAATTGGAACTGTTTAGCTGTGTGCCGTACCAGTAGGTAAATGCAGCGTAACGCATCAGCATTTCTTTGTTTTATCACCTGATGAGGACGGCATGGTCTCACACTCACCAATCTCTAACAGCTAAAAGGTCCATACCATCAAACAACTACCTATAATCACTGCTGTCAGGTGCACGACACAAACATTTGCCGCAGCAAATCAAGCAGCACGGAACGTCACTCACCGGTCCACATCTGGTTATGCTGAACACATACGGTAGCCGCGGCAGTCCAGTGAGGCACCCACGCGAGGGTGCGGCGGCCGCTCTCGATCCCCCGAATAGCTGCAACAGCGATCGGCGGATACGGCCATTCCCTTGTGGGACGAATGGCGTGTTGTATCGGTTCTCATCGGGCCTTTTATCGGGCAGCCGACGCGCGAGCAGCGACCATGCGCGGGCGGCGTCTGCCCCGGTGAACGGGGTGCGGCGGCGGCGGTTGGACGGCCGGTAGCGGAGGTGGCGGCGGGTAGCCAGGCGCCAGGGCGGCGGCTGTGCAGTGTGCATACCGTGACCACGGCAGGGGCGTCAGAGTCGGCTGAGCAGGCCAGCAGGGGCGTCTGGAGCGGATGGTTGGACGCCCCGGGAGCCTAGACAGGGTTCCCGGGGCGGCTGCGCGAGTGCCTCAAGCGCCCATGGACAGGGCGCCTGCTCGGCGTCTCGGTATTTTAAGCCCGGGGCGGCCGGCGTTGGGTAGTAACGACCGACCCGGTCCTGCAGCAGGCCCCGGTCAAACCGTTCCACGAACGGCCAACAGCGGTGGCGA